TATTTCAGAACCCCCTTCCCCTCCCCCATTTCTGAAGAAGGGTCTGGGCCCGAAACGTCAGCCTTCCTGCTCCTCTGATGCTGCTTGGCCTGCTGTGTTCATCCAGCTCTACACCCTGTTATCTCAGATTCTCCAGCATCTGCAGTTCCTACTATCTCTGGTCCTTTCCTTGCTTCTGTTTGACCTGAAGCCATGAGACTTCATGGAGTCCATAGTCAATGTTGAGGTCTCCCAGGGCAGCACCAACTCTGCTGGGTCTGCTCTGCCGGTGGGACAGGACATATCCAGGGATGGTGATGAGTGTTTCTGGGACATTGTCTGTATGGTACGATTCTGCAAGTATAAGTTAGTAAGGAGGGCCTCACAGAATGACAAGGCTGAGTTAGCGGTTGTCGTTTCCACTTGCCACTTCACTGCCAAGTCATTCCCTTCTCTTTGAAACTTTTTACTGATTTGATACAAATGAATGTCTTGCTCAGCTATTTCAGAACCAGCAAGTTTGGAGTCATGCGTAGGCCAGACCATGTAAGGATGGCAGATTTCCTTTCCTAAAGGGCATGGGTGAACCAGATGGGTTTTTAACAACAATCAAGTCATCTAGAATTTAAATGTCATATTTTCACTGAATCCAAATTCCACCATCTGCCACGATGTGAGTCAAACCTGGGTCCCCACAACATTACCTGTCTCTCTGGGTTTCTAGCCCAGCAACAATAACATGAGGCTATTGCTTCCCTGGGTGTAATACAACCCACTGTTCAGGATCACTTTCAATCACCCAACCAGTGACAGGGGAGGCCATTCAAGAAAACTGAGAAGTTTGGCTCTTACACAGTTGGATTTCTCAAACCCAGTCTCCACGTGATCGAATCTCCTCCCCAAACTCTGACCCTTTACTTGCTCATAACTGAGCAGAGATCACCACCCACAGGAACAAGATGGAAATTGCAGGAGTTCACAGAAATTGTACACAGATTAGGAGGGGATGGATGGTCTGGTGGAGTCATCTTTCTCTGAAGAGAAGAATGTTGATGGTTGTCCCAATGGTTTGATGTAAAATGGTGAAGGGTTTTGACAGAGTGGACACAGAGAGAATGTGGGGAAGAGCAGAACTAGAGTCCTTTGATATAAAACATTCACCAAGAAATACAACTTGGTGTAAAATTCAGGAGTAACTTTCTCACCCAGAGAGTGGTGAGAATGTGGGACTTACTCCCACAGGCAGCAGCTACAGAGAGTTTGATGGTTTTAAGGGAAAACGAGACAAGTTCACGTGAGAGAAAGGAATTGAGGGTTAGAATGATCAATTGGGATGAGGAAAGATTGGGGGAGGCTAAGTTAAGTCCCAGCACAGGCAGATAAAGGGTCACCAGACTCATAAGGTAACTTCCTGCAAATGCTTCCAGATCTGATGAGTTTCTCAAGAACTTTGTTTTTGTCCCAGCTTGAATTTGTTAGGCCAAATAGCCTGATTCCATGCTGCACATTTTATATAAATACATTTTTTGGTCTGTACTATAGACTTGTGACAGGACAGAGAAGTATCAACTTACCTCTGTCTCCGTGCACTTTCCCGTCATAATTATTGATCAGTTCCTCAATAAAAACACCATCCTGCTCAAGGACCTCATCTCCCATATAAGGGATATTATGCAAGACAGTCTCATCCTCCACCTGCATTATAACAAGCAGCATTATTAAGGAATGTCAGGTACTGTAATGTTATATATTTGTTCAAAACAAACCATGGTAATTTCTGCAAATGTGATCCCACCTACACCCAAATTCAAATGTAGCAGAGCCACTCCCTCATGTCACACAACAGCACCCTGACCAACATACCATGAAATTCTGTTGGAGAGGAGACCAGGAATACATAACTGGGCTCATGGCCACTGGGCTCAGCATCTTCTGTATGACCGTCTGACTCTTGAAACTCAGGAATAAACTCTCAACTGTGCACTGCAACGAAGGAAAGACGCAGTGAGGACAAGTGAGGGTGAGCTCAGGGAGATGTGGTTTCTTTAACAGCTTCAACCACTTCAGCCATTGCTCTGTTATGGCTGAATGTTCCTGTGTGGAGTGGGGAGCCTGCTGTTAATTCCAGCTGGTGCTGGGGGCCCAAGGAGGAGCTGTCAGTGACATTGTGAAAGCTGCCAGGTTTCGGATTGATTGAATGGGTTTGATATTGTTACTTAGTCTTTCCACATGATGTTACTGAGGGTGATGGTGCCAGTGACCACAAGAACGTGTATTCAACTGTCACAGGCATAGGCTGGTGCCACATTATATGCACTGGTAAGATGGGATGCCAGGTTTCCAAATGGTAGAGAACAGCTGACAGGAAAACGGAATGGGTATACTGCAACAGGACCAGTAGCTGTGTATTTAACTATTTCTCAATTCCATCTGTTCACTCTTTGCAGAAATGCAACTGGGAATTCAGGAGCAACTTCCTCACCCAGACAGCGGTGAGAATGTGGGATTTACTCCCGCAGCGAGTGGCTGCAGTGAATTCGATGGCTTGAATGGAAAACTAGACACGTTCATGTGGGAGAAGGGAACTGAGGGTTAGAATGATTGAATGAGATAAAAAAAGGCAGGGGGAGGTTCAAATGGAAACCCAGGGAGACAGGTAATGTTCTGGGGAAGTTCAAATGGAGGATAAACCCCAGTATGGACAGACAAAGGGTGAAATAACTCCACATAGGCTGGTCTCCCGTCACCAAGTCACCCTTTATTTACATGTGGAGAATTCTTCACACTGATTCAACTCTGTCAGGGCCAGTTCTCAGAGTGAACAGAACCCTTGATGCTCCTGCTTTTAATCTATCAGCCAGGGCTCCCAGATTGGGCTGTTAATCTGGTCCAATCAGGGAACTCATATTCTATGAGGTGCATCCGGCTGACCTTATCACAATCAGTACAAAGGATTGGCATCAATGGCCCTCCCAATGAGAAGCCTCCCATATGTCAGGTTGGGGGGCAGATGGGAGGGAGGCACAGTGTGGGCTTTGCGGGGGTGGGGGGAGGTGGGGGCAGGGGTGGGGGGAGGATGGCTGTCTGCTCCCTCAGTGCACAGCTGCAGACACAAAGCTGAAGGTCGGAGCTGCTGGAGCCTCCACTCCCCAAATGGACGTCGATGGCAAACCCACTGAGACTGAAAACAGAGCCACAATAAACATCCAAGCAGTCACTGTGTAACTTGTGAAAACAAAGGTGTCAGTGAGGTGCCAGCTCCAATATATAGCAGTCTATCACTGACTGCCTACTTCATGCAGGCTACCAACCCCTCCATCCCACATACAATCTCCCCTCCCCTCCCCTCATGTATCCACACTGCCCTGTTGGCACAGTTGGTACAGAAACAGAGTCAGCTGGACTTTGCTCGAGAATCTACCTTCCATTTGCCATAGCTTGTAGCTCCCACTGTGCTGCCAGCAATTGGCTGGATCCTCAGCTTCTTCCAGTCTTCATTCAGAATCTCAGTTCGGCTCCTGATCTTGTTGCGGTTACAGATAAACATATCCTTCGTACAGAAAGGGGAAAAGAGTTGGTTAGAGAGGGATGGAGAAACGTTCAGTGTCTAACCTCGGGCTCACCATCTAACCAGGCTCTAGGCTCTCAGCAGCCTGACAATTTCTTTTGAGAAATGAGTTTGTGTGTGTGTGGTGGGTGGCTACCATCCTCACTCACAGCCACTCCCTGGAGCCTGATAACAAAGTGAAGCGGTTTTGAAAATGACACACCCACCGTTACCTTCACTTCATCTGCTCTCCGGAAACGTTTGAGTTGGCGCAGACGCATGTATTCGGACTTGACTCGTTTCCGCCACTCCATCGACAGATTCGCCAACTGTTTATTCTGAGAGGGTTCGGATTCCATCCTCAGCCTGGAAACCAGATCATGCCAATCAGCATCATGCCAGGCCTGGGGGCAGTGTGGGCAATACCACCTCCCCCACCACCGCTTTGGGAGAGGGGGGTAACTCACAGCCATGCACCTCAAAGAATGAGACCGATTCCGAACCAAAAGGAAGATGTTCTTGTGGAGCCGATTGTCAGGGCTCAGAGACAAGATGAATATTTTGCAGATAAATCTGTAACTTATTCCATTCACACACCATTGCAGACTATTTCTGCTTTTGCTGTTTCTTTTAAACTAATCTTTCTCTTTACTCCTTCTAAATCCATCTCTTCTCCTCTTATTCTTCCTTTAAGTATTCTACCCTCCCAAGTCTATCCTCAACCCCCAGTGCTTTGATCTTGCTGTTACTGTTCCTGATTTGACTCTCTGTTGGATAAGCAGACAGTTCCACTTTGGCTTTGTCAAGACAGAAATCCCAAGTGCCTGATCCCACTCCCAGAATCACATTCCTGCCCAAAGCACTCAATAAGGGCTCATCTTGCTCCCCTCCAACTCACTACCTCCCCTGCCAGCTGCTCCCCAGCCCCACTCCACAATGTCCATTCCCTTGTGAATAAGGTCTTTAGCAACATAGGAGCAAGAATAAGCCATTCACCCAGTTTCACTATTCAATACAATCATGGCTCATCTGGTTTAAACTCAAATCCACTTTCTTCTTTTCAAAAATCTAACAAACTCAGCCTTGAATCAATGCAAAGGCCCATCTCCAGTAGCTCTGGGGATAAAGATTCCACACTAGAATGACACTTGTCATCCGTAAACATCCTGTGGATGATTACACAGAATATGACACAATAACCAAGAATTCAGCTGAGTGCCGGTGACACTTTCCTTTTAAACGAAGCCCTTGTGTGTTTTACTACTGCTCGAACAGGGCTGTTGAGGTGATGATGTGGAACACACAGGTTCATACTCTGTAATCCTCTGGGACTTTCTCCTCTTTGAGCATGTTATCCTGTTCCACACCCTCACCCCTTTCAAAATCATGATTTACCGCCATCCTAAACTTAATCCAAATGTTCTCAGAGATTTCAACATTGCTTTCCTCTCACAGTCTCTGCACCATTCTTGTCATTTACACTAGTTTTACCTCCATCTCTACCAGTCTGCTCCTCTGAGCCACTGGGCCTCTTACAAACCCCGTATCTCTCCCCACAATGTGGGTGGTCAGTACAATCGCCACCAGCTCACTGAGGCTTTCAGACCCATCAACCCCAACACCAGGTCAACTCTGATCACATCCTTCTGTCCCTCGCTGCCTGCACTCCCTCACCCTCACACCCACATGCATCCTCCCTCACACCCACACT